TTACCTGGAAATTTGACCGGTGAAATGTATTTGGAATTACTGGAAGACGCCATAGATCCTGCATTAACAGCCATAATTGAAAATCAGGATGATCGGCGGTACATTGCGAATAGGTTGATGTTCCAACAGGATCGTGCCCCACCACATTACGCATTACGTGTTCGACAATATTTAGATCAGACGTTTCCAGATCGATGGTTTGGTAGAAGAGGTGTCATTGAATGGCCCTAAAGATCGCCAGATTTATCACCTTTGGATTTCTTTATGTGGGGTCATTTAAAAAGCAAAATCTATGCTACTCAGCCAACATCATTAGAAGACCTGCGACAAAGAATTGTGGATGAGTGCCTTCAAATTACTCCTCAAATATTGCAAAATGTGCGGCAACGTTTTGCGCAAAATGTTTATTATTGCATGGAGAGTCATGGTGGCCATTTTCAACATTTACTTGCCTAACGGGTCAGTTCATTCTTCATTTTTAAATTACTTTGCTGCCAAATGTATTGATCTCCACTAATGATGATGTATTAGTTTTATTTAAGCTTTAAAACAATAAATCTTCAAAACTACTGAACTGAAGTACATTAATTTTATATTATTATAAAGGGAATTGAAAGACATTTAAAATAAGGTATCACTCGACCCCCCTTTCCATTTTACATTTTGGGGGTGTTGTCACCCCCGCTTAGGGATCTGCACGTGCTAACGTGTTTTTCAAAAAAAAACTGAGCTGCCAGTAAATGCGTCTGCTTCGTTTTCGATGCGTCACCCTGTATATACTACAAAAATTCGTTGGGACCGAAACAACCAGACAAATATGGAGGCTTATTTTTTCAGACAAAATGGGGAGCGATGTGATACCTCATTCAGCAGGTTCTCGTTAGAACTTCATAACTCCAGAATATGTACTGGCGCGCTATCAATGTTGAGTGTTTTTATACATTGAACCGATAGCCAATCATCAAAGCATTATATAGTATTTCATTTTGCTAAGGTGACCCATTCAAAAAATCAGTAGTGCGTTTTTTTTAAAAGCACTGTATAACGTACTATGTTGATTGCCGCTATAAATTAGTCTTTCCTTGAATTTATATTTGCACTACATTATTACTGCTCCATTTAATTACTAAAAAACATACGTATTCCATTACCAACCTTTTCCAATTTTTTTATATTGTTCAATATTTCCAAGAGTGCAAGGAGGTAAACATTGGGCATTTACTGTCATAGGGTTTAGTTTGTGAGAATATGTCCAACGAACTTATTACCCTATTTTCGAGAGTTTCAGGTTATGTAATTGTTATGCTTCCTTGTTTTTATCTATACCTCGTTCAACAGGACTACACAATCGAACAACTTCGCAAAAATGCGGTTCTCACTGTGTATACAAATAAATCGTGAGATCTAAAGTCCAACAAAATATAATTTGTTTAAGACCTCTAAATTGATTTTCTAGCTCAATTCTGAATTTCCTGAGGTTTAGTTATCAATACCTAGACATCCTTCTAACTAACGTACTTTCTTCTTTTTGTCCTGCCATTTCTTTCCTTTCTTTCTTCTTCCCTGCTTTCTCCGTAACTTTGTCTGCTATCAACCAGACCTGTCAGACTAAAGACCTACGGACCGCTCCGACAAGCAGTCACCTGTAATGAATGTTCAAAGTCTAATTTATAACACATGTGCCAATTTATAACCATGTTGACTGGACTACGACCTCAGAGTCCCGGTGCGAGTCATTGCCCGCTGTCGATTGGTCGACTGTCCACGTATCCACTGACTGATCGATTGTCTCGACTGAGACTGTCTGCTTCCGCCAGCTGGTCGTGTATTTATTCTTCTATCGACGAGTCGGGCAACATACCAGCGTTTTCGCGGACTTTCAAGGAAGTGGTCTGGATGGCAGCAGATTCATCTCCACGCGTGTCGAGGATTCGCAATGGTGTCGCGATCGGTCCGGAATCGCGACCACGCTCAATATATGGTCGCGTAAATCTGTCTGTCTAAGCGTTGATTACACTTCTGATTATTCGTCGAATCTTCTAGTTGATGTACGAGGGACCGACCCACACGGATAGAAGACTTCTTCAGGGGAGCTAGTAGAATATCTGCTTTTATTTAACACTGTCGCCCTCTCCGGAATCTATAGAATTGTGATATTATGTCTTGTATCTTAAGGAAATTAAATAGCGTCGCAAATAAACAATTATGTAAAACAATGCTATATTTAAATACATATACTGTGACATGATCAAGTAGATCTGCAGATATACGAAGTCTCCATTTACAACGCGGACAACAGAACAATAACAAAATTTCCATCTTGTAACTGTGAAATTTGTTTTTTACGAGTAGTTATTAAACATTCATCTCGACATATAAAACAAAACATCTATTATCAGTCAGACCCGCCTAACTTCGGCCTCACATTAACAGTGTCGAACTTCGTACATCTAGAGCTGACGGGTACGACCGCTGGGATGTTGAGGTTGTGGATCAATCTGCTGGAGGAGGTTTTTCCCGGTTCTACTAACCTTTGGCAGCTTAAAAATACTTAGGTTTCTGCCTATGCGGCTGCTTCGATGTAAAAAAATCGTCATTCAGAAAACATTTTTTTTTGTCAAATTCTGTAACATAAATCGGACTCTTTTTTTTACAATTAATAATTCAATCGTAATCGGTTTGACACTAAAGTGTTTAGTCATTGATTAAAGTATTTCTACCTGAAGACATCCAACCTAATGCTATAAGTATTCGCACGTCCAAAATTTTATCCGAAATAAAATGATATACTGTGGCGTCATCTATGAGAATTTGTCATAGCTGTTTCTTTATCTACTATATATAATTTTGAAAGACTAGGGTGTCATAGATGGCGCTATCTGTATGAGCCTATGGGTAACTACAGCGTTACTTTATCCTTGAACTATTTTTTGTTAGAAAATTTTTGCCAACTCCTACTCCAGGTCATTAGAATATTAGATTTAACCATCTTTAGATTAAAGATAAAAGATTTTGCTGACAGGGACTAACTCAAAATTGTTTTGTTTAGACAAAATTTACTATGATACAGCGGAGGCCAATGGCATACGCCGAAAAATGAGCACCACTGAAGCAAGAGTGGGTTCTAAAACAAAACTGATCATGGGTCATAAATTCGAAGTGTGATTCTTTGGAGTAATTTGGATTTACTTTCTTGGGCTACCGAATTCATTACGATTGTAGGAAACGTTAACGCTTTTAAGGTAACATATATCCGCACAAATATAATACAAGCGAACTATTAGAAAAGTTATTGTGCTGAAGGTCTTAGCGCTCGCTTTACATTTATTATAATTAATACTTCACAATTAAATGCATTGGTTAATAACGGTTTCCTGCATTCCAAAATCCTCTTCAGAGGCCAGACACCTTCGTAGCGTGTCGAATTATAACTGTGTTTCGTTCCCATAAAATTATTCACTTTCCTTTTCGCAAAAGTATACTGTTTATCCTTTTGTATAGCGTTATTGAAATCCTACTTCCTCCGATCTTTTCAGATGGTGGATTTAACAGATTATAAACAATCCAGCGGTAAATAATATTCTTGCTGGAGTTTCAATTTTTTTCATTTAATCCTGGATTCGATCTACCACATACCTATCACATATCAACGGATGTAAATTCGAGCACATACAGCTTAGGGTTTTTCGAATAAAGTGAAAAGTAATCTGGACGTTGCATAGTCCAAAGCTCCTCCGTGGTACAATAACTTCAACTATTAAACCCCAGAATCTTGGAAGTTCAAATTGCAAGCATATTTGATTGTGTGATGAATCAATACAAAAGACTAACATCAGTACCGAAAGTCAGTATTTTCCAGCGGTTGACACGTTATTTGAGTGCCCAAAGATGTAGTCTGTTGATACGTATAATTGTGGATTTATGTGCTGATTGTGATCCTGGACTCCCAGGGTGGAAATGGTAGGACTTCATCGTGCATTTTTTTTTGTGGATTCGCAAGAAGGACCAGAGTGTTTTTCCTACCAGAAGTTTGAATAGTGCAGATACAAAGAGTATCAGAAAAGTTTTGCAATATGACTTAACAAACGGACGCAGGAGAATGCATGTTACTGCAGGCTGAGACATGTACATGAGAGCTTAGTAGCCGCCAGCAGCACTACATACTTATTTTAGGATTAGACACTTTGTGAAATTTCTGTCATGAGGGGTCAACTGAGGCCTGGGAAAGGTGTAAATATTCCGCTGTCATCATTGGTCTGATCGAAAGAGAACTGTCAGTGTGAAATCCAAATTGTTCCTAATCTCAAATCGACTGAATGTACTATAAAAGCTTTACAATATGACTTTACAAACGGGCGCAGGAGGCTGCATGTTACTGCATGATGAGACATGTCCATGAGAGCATAGTAGCCGCCAGCAGTACGTTTGTTGATTTAGTTGTTCATTCGTATTGCAAGCAAAACGGTAGGTACACGTGTGTACCCAAGATTTTCAAGCTTACACAAGTTGGCGTCCTTTGATGATTGTATCAAAGGTGATAGAAGAGACAAAAACTTTGAATACGTCTCTCCACCCGTTCTACGATAATTGTGCCAGTCACGCGGATATATTTTCAGCTCACTTAGTAAGTTAATGTTAATGTTTCATCAGGCATTCTTTACACAACACCGCACGCTTTTTTATTCGGATTTTCTTTTCATCACAAGAAGAAACTAGGTACCTCTATTTTTAACAAGCATGCTTGTACGTGTGGTGCCAAAAGCTAATTGTGCATACTTGTACAAAAATATTGAATAAGCATGCACGACATGGTTTTAGGTTGCAGCTGTGTCTGTAACCACCTTTAGTGGTTGCCTTATGTTTTAGAAACACTCTGTATTAGATACGCTATAGATGCTCAAATCCAGGCAACACATGTACCGAGACGCTGTATACGCGGTTGCATATATATGCATCAATCAATAAGTGTTGTATTGAGTGTTGCATGCATTGTGTTTCAGGCGGACCGCGATGTCGAACTAGGCAACGGCACCGTCGACGTCGACCTGCGTGACATCACGAACAACAACACCATCAAGGAGTCGAACCCAAAGCAGCTCGACGAGGATCCGCACCAGCAGCAGTCTTCCTCCAGCGAGGTGGCGTCTTCGTGGTCGTGTTTGAAACGTCGCCGTAGTCGGGTGTTTCTGCGTCGAATGGCTGTTTTCGCGAGCGTTTCGGCGGTCATCGTCGCCGTCGCGGCGCTCTTGGCGTACGCCGCAGGATGGATGGCTGTAGCGCAGGCGGCCGTCGTCGCCGCAGTGGCGTATCTCGCGGCAGGGCACTGGATGTGGTTTTATGTGGCGGCCGTTACTACGCCTAGGGATCTCAGGTGAGTGAGTCGTTTGGCAGGATGCCACAGACAAAGGCGGATATAGCATTTGTCAGGGGAGGGTTACAGGATAACTCAGGAAGAGATTCTGCGGGGGGAGGGGGGGGGGTACGATTCAAAATTGAAGAGCGGGGTGGCAGTGACCCTACCTGTGTACTCATACGGTGTAGCTAAATGTGATTTAAGTAATAAATCTGATTTAAAAGGAGTTATTATTAATAAATGAAATTTAATTCTTCATTTTGTATGAGCCTATATATCTTTGACATATAGGTGTATAAAAGTGCCAGTCCAGTTAGATGGTCTTCTGCCATAAAGGCGCGCAACCACGTCTTGAGCATCCTAAGAGTAGAAAAGGACCTCTCTGATGACGATACACTAACTGATGGTAATGTCGCAAGGATACATAAGAACTTTTTGATGTTGGGATACATTTCGGCATGGCAAATTACAATAAGAGTAGGAATCGACCGCGGAATTTATTCTGCACTCGCTGTCATTTTGCCATCCACAGCCGATATTTATTCATAAGTAATATCATTAGGGCATCTAATTTTTCCCAAAAAATCGAAAAACACGTAATTAAGTAATACTCGTATTCCAACAAGAAGCATGAGTGCGCGAATGTTTTTTGTTAAAAAAATCTCACATTGCATTGTTTTTTTTATTTTTTTTACAGGAAAAAAATTAGATGCCCGAATGGTATTTGACAAGACTATTTCATGAGTAACATATCCAATTATACATGCATTTTCACTACATAAGCTGACTAGCACTGTTTAAAAACAGTATTGCAACATTTATTGACAATAAAATCAGAAAAATTGTTTAGCGTGGTTTTCTGATGTCCTAGCAGACCATAATTACGTGTTATCAAAGGTATTGTAATTTTTGGTAACAACAGCTGTCAAGTTTTGCTGTGGGTGAACTTGAAAAAACTGTTGACACGTGCTGTCATACAATTTTTCCATCTAGAAACCATTTGAAATTCAAAATTGCGCGTTTGTGATTGGTAGAAATTAAAACGAGGGAAATTGTTACAATTATTGAAGGTGTCACAAATATTAGTGGTCAAATGAGATTCGCCCTCGACAGCTTGCTTGGTCCCAGATTACACACAGATGCGACAGCTACGGTCGATCCCTTTGATCTTGGTATCGACATTTATTTAGTATCCTACTGATTAGTATGAGCGTCTTGCAGTTTTTTTTTGCAAAGGGCGGAAATCAAAAATATATGGTTGTGCTCTCCGAAAAAATCTACCATCCCATTATAATTGTGATACAATAAATACTAACTAAATTTACCTTTGATGATTTTTCAAAACACACTATTCAGGCGTTTTATTGGATGCCCTATATTTTAAACTGTTCTTTGAATGTGTCACCACAGATTACATACAGTCGGTACATTTGATCTTCGTGTCATAATAGCCTACCATATACCATGGGTGCCTGCGGGTATTTGTTTCAAAGGGCGCAAAAAATAATGATTGGTTGTCCCTGCGAATAAATCAACCTTTCCACATTAATTATATGACACAATAGATACTAGATAAACTTACCTTTGATGATTCCTCGGGAATGGAGTGAATATGCCAGTGGCCAGACAGTTTAGAAAAAAATGGAATTCAAAGTGTAATTTTTATTAAAAAAAAATACTAATCAAAAAGGTGATATTTTGCCTGTACTAGGACAAAATAAGGAGCTAGTCGGCCGACTACTTGCCAATTGTCGGACAGCATTTTATTGGCTAGTTTTAGAAAGAACTGAATATAAAATTGTGACAGTAAAACAGAAATTTCATTAAGACTTTCAGAAAAAGTAATTAAAAACAGTCATACTGAATCCTTTTAATATACATATTTGTATTAAAAATAAATAAAACTACATATTAACGAACAAGAAACTAATTTTTCCTTTAATCCGGTCCTGCACTCGCAATTCCATACTGTTTACATAAATGTCAGACAATTTTCCAACATTTCGCCAGCTTCCGCTGTCTCCTTTAACTTGCGTTCACTATATTTACGTAATTTATTTTTCTCTGGATATCCGTTCCCGAATGAAGTGAAAATGTGAGTTTTCATTTCTTAGTCTCCTGAAAAAATGGCGGGACGGTGGCAGTGGCCGGTTATTGGGATGCTATGAAATTTGGTTCACTCCAGTAGTCGGACACATCACTGGCCATAACTTACATTGTTTGCGATCTTTCTCTATCCGTCTACTGGCTTTAGTCGCATTTTGGTTTGTTTAATGCCAAGAGAGAAGTTTGATAGTCTGTATGGTTAGATAGAAAAAGATAGATTAATAACAACCACGCCATTCCAGTATCGGACACTTGTCCGACTATTGGATTTGACTAGCATGATGATCCGTATCCAGTCATCGACCACTCCAATTTGAGCTCAAAATATTAAAAGATCATATTAAAATATTTTTTTCGTAGATTCTAAATGTCTTTTGCATATGTAACAAGAACAGCATTGATATATCGTCAGCTGACCATTCCAATTGCCTTATGTCACTCCAAACGCAACTGACCAAATTTGAGAAACCGCGGCTGTTTTGCTGTTTATGAATAAGCGCTAACGCTGTTGTCAATATGACAACTGTGGATGTGAAATTTTGGTAAACTGTTACAACTTAGATGATACATCTGGTACCAACTTCTAGCAAATATAGGATTTCAAATATTCAAGTTTTTACCAATAATATAAGATTTGCCCGACTACTTGTAGTGTCCGGGTTACTGGCACATTCACCCTATATTTTCAAAGTTATTGTTTGACCAAAAACAATGTACCTGATTTTTGACAGGTTGCCGCCACAGCTTATATAACAACCAGCTATCAAACTCTGCTATCAATGTCAAAAACGCTATGGAGTCGTATTCGATTGAAGACCGCATTAAAGTTATTCAAGAGCACTACAAAAATGGTGCAAAAATAAAAAACACGTTTCGCGCGCTTCGTGAACACTTCGGTCGCAACAACCGCCCAAACGAAACAACCATCGGTCGTCTGGTGCGTAAATTCGAGGCAACAGGTTCTGTGGCAAATCTGCCAGGCTCTGGCCGGCCAAGGAGCGTTTGCACACCGGAAAAAATTGCTGTTGTGAAGGAGAGTGTGGGAGACGATCCGAAACAATCAACAACGCGTCGATCCCAAGAATTGGGCATTTCGAGAACCAGTTTGCTCCGCATTCTCCACAAGGATTTGAATGTACACACCTACAAGATCCAATTGACGCAAGAGCTGCGTCGGGCCGACCATTTTTCGCGCCGAACGTTTTCAGATTGGCTCCTTGAACACCGCCAAATTGATGCCAATTTTTCATCAAAAATCATGTTCAGCGACGAAGCGCATTTCACTTTGAATGGGACGGTAAACAAGCAAAACTGCCGCATCTGGGCGAACGAAAATCCCCGTGAGTATCAAGAGCAGGCGATGCATCCTCAAAAAGTGACTGTGTGGTGTGCATTGTGGTCAAAAGGCATCATCGGACCTTACTTTTTCGAAAATGCGGCCGGAGACGCCGTTACCGTCAATTCTGAGCGATATCACGTGATGATAGAGGACTATTTTTTGCCGCAACTTGAAGGAATGGATATGGACGATGTTTATTTCCAACAAGACGGTGCAACATACCACACAACCAACGTCAATATCCATCGATTGCAGTCCTTCTTCGATGATCGCGTGATTTCGCGCAGAGGAAATGTGCCATGGCCACCAAGATCGTGCGATTTGACTCCCTTGGACTTCTTTTTATGGGGATATTTAAAAAGCAAAGTCTACGTCAACAAACCAGCCACCCTCCAAGAACTCAAAAACAATATCATTGCCGAGATAAATGCCATAGAACCGACCATGTTGCAAAATGTCATTGAAAATTTCGACCATCGCGTGGACGTCTGTAAATCCAGTCGTGGTGAACATTTGAGCGATATTATTTTTCATACATAAATGGTATAAACGAACCTTCAAAATAAAGTACCCAACTTGATTTACATAAATATCAATCTTTCTTGTTTTAATATGCGTTTACTTTCCTGCGTCCGTTTTGGACAAAATAATAAAAAATGTTTTGATGCATAACCAATATATAGTTCCGATGTTTTAAATATCTAAAAAGTTATTTATAATATTATGGTAGGCACAACTATACGCTCCTTAATTGGAAAATATGCCGCTCTCCACAAGGTCATACATAATTATGTGACAATACAAACATACATTTTTTTAAATGGAATGTCTCTTTTTTATTATTCGCTCATTCTAAACAAAAACTATACACATACCATACATCAGAACGTTTAACCTTTGAGAGAATTTACCAAATACCACTTTCGTTTAAATGAGTGAAGAATAAAAAAATATATATGCTAAAAGTATTAGTTTTACTGATGGATGATGTTCCTAACAACTTTCATGTAAATGTTCCTGTGGGCTCAGAATAAAATCTGAGCGTCTATTCTTTCTTACCAAACAAAGGCGGATTAAAAAGGTAGCAAACGCTACGGGTCCCGCGCACTCAGCGCTTTGTGAACATAAAGAAGTATCTCGCCTGCAGGAGAAAGCACTGATGCAGCCACCCCTAGTTCTTCATTCAATTTTCAATAACCCCTAGGCCTCTTGATATAATTTGCTACAGGCCTCGCGCTGGCTTAGCCCAGCAAGTTAGCAAAATAGCATTATTTCAAAGAAATGTTACTGCTGTGAAATATAAGTCACTGATTAATTAATTGTAAATAAATCACACTGAGGTGCTTCTACATCAATATATCAGACAAGACATATCTAGAACCTACACTGAAAAAAAAATTAATGAAGCCAATTAAAATTTTAACTGGGCCAAGTAAATAAAATATCAATTATGTGACAGCTAACAAGTTTAATTAGCGTAACTAAACGTATATTTCTAAACCTTACTTGAGTGTATGAAACTAGTTCAATTTAACAAAACACAATCGTTTAATTTAATTTATTAAACCGTTTACTTAGATTGAGTACATCAATTTATTTAAAATTACTACCAAAAACTTAATTAAATTTA